TGGAGTGTATATATATATATATATATATATATATATATATATATATATATATAAATACTTTGTTTTATGGATGATTTAGAAGGAATGTTGCCTGCTATAAATTCAATTTCTATTATGAGGTGCACCCACCCCTTCAGTATTTATAATGCAGGGCAAAGACATTGAAGTGGCTTGCTTTCTTCGGTTTATAGCCACACTGCCTGGTGACAGCTGTGTGTATTTGTGAGAGAAGCAGTGCTAAATCAAATGATTAGCACAAGACAGAGAGCCCATCCATTTCCAGGAAGAAGCTAACTCTAGAAAAATTGTAGCTCAGGGTCAGCAAAGAGCATCACTCAAGGAAACTTTGCTCTCTTCCCTTTCTTCCTGGAATTCCAAGTCTTTGGAAATGTTCACATGTTTCAGAAATTCAGATTTGCTTGAATCTGTTACCGAGAGAATCAAGTTGCATTTCTATCTTCATAGACACAGCCTAGGAGACTGGCATCTAGAGTTTCATTTGTAAAGATATAAAAATAAAAACCACATTCATTTCATATAATACTGTTTTTATATTTTCCCTTTGATGCAGAAATAAGAAATGGAAACTTAAAAGCCATTCTAGGGCTGTTTTTCAGTTTGTCGCGCTACAAGCAGCAGCAGCACCACCAGCAGCAGTATTACCAGTCCTTGGTGGAGCTCCAGCAGCGGGTCACTCACGCCTCTCCTCAGGCAGAAGCCGGTCCGGCCAAAGCCCAGCAAGATATGCAGTCCAGGTAAGGAGGGGACCGGGGATGTGTTTAAATCAGTTGGCAGATACAACTTGTTTTTAACAAATTGTTGTCTGTGACTTTGAAAAATATATTTATGTAGTACTATCGATGGGATGGGATTATTTGACGAATGTTATAGAAGTTAAAACCACCCTTCTTTTGGTTGGATGAGCAACGCAGCACTTTTTAGGTGAAGTATTTGTGTTTGTTTTCTAAAGATGATTATGGTTTGTAGCAAAGTATATGATTTGCCTTTCTTGTTAAGAAACATAGCAGTTTCTTCCTTCCGCAAATCACCGTATTATTTAGAATGTGCTATTGAATCCTAGTCTCCAATTGTGTAGGTATCTTTTGTTGATGCTTTTGATTGATTGAGTCATTAAATCTGTCAAAAATGTCAGGTCTGAAAAACATAGGAGTTTGAGTGTTTGGAAACGTACTGTTTTTGGTGTGAGCTCGTGTGTGTGAGTGTGCGTGTGTATTTATATACGCACATGCATCCGTCTGTCTGACTTGAGTCTGTTGGTGCATGTAGACACAGCCTGGGGTGGGGTGCTAACAAATCATGGCTCTTCCTTCCTCTTGCATTGCTGCTTTTTTTTTTTTCCCCAATTTGGAATTATATTAGTCAGGGTTGACCCAGAGAAGCAGAACCAGTAAGAGATACATATTAAGAGATTTATTGTGAACGATTATTTCACATGTTCGTGGGNGTAAGAGACACATATTAAGAGATTTATTGTGAACGATTATTTCACATGTTCGTGGGGACTTGCTAGGCAAGGCTGAAATCCTAAGAGCGGCTCAGCGGGAAGAACAGGCTGAAACTCGCAGCATGAGCTGAAAGTGCTGTCTGCACAGGTGGAGCTTCTTCTCAAGGGATCCTCTGTCCTGCTTTTTGAGATCTTTCAAGGGATGAATCAGACCCACCCAGAGTATCTAAAATAATCTCCCTTACACCACTTCTGACTCAAGAAATGTGAAGAATGCATAGTTTGAAAAACTCTTCTTAAATACATAACAACAGTATACTTAAAAAAGCAAAAAAAAAGAAAACTTGCTTACCTCAAATATGAGATAGCTATTTCCACAGAGGAAAAGTAGAGCAGAAATGCTGAACGTATTAAAGGCAACTGCTGTGGACTCCAGCCACATCCACAGCAGCTAGATTGGGGTTTGGTTGAATAAGTGGGACTGAATAAACCTAGCCAAGCTGACACATCAAACAGTGATCTCAGAATGAAATTAAGGTGACGAGTTTCATGCAAGCTCTCCTTTGTTCCTCATCAATGATGAGGGTAGCACGTAGTTAGCTCTATTGCATAAATAGCTATGATGACTTTTCTTAAGGAGGGAGAATGTACAATATGAAGATACTCTTCATTGTCTTTAAAAATATATACACATACCAAACATATGTAAATATTTAACTTTTTCCATCTGAGAAACCAAGCTTGAAACCTAATAATACTCAATTTACCTTGAGTTTCTTTTTGGTAATTAACATTGACTCAAAAAGTTAAAATGAAACTTCAAAATATATTCACAAACCACCCCACACTTATTGTCAAATATTCAAGAGTTCAGAAATCCCTTTGTTTTTAATCTGTCAACCAGCTCTCACTTCATTTTAACCAATATCTCTTTCTCTATGTAGCTATGTAAAGTCTATTCCCTTTGGCAGGTTTTGCTAATTAGTTAAGTATTAAATCAATAAACGAAAATTATAGTTTCACTGAAAAAATATAGCAGTACTACAAAGTCCACGGAGTAATAAGAGGTCTTTCTCATTACTCAGTAACGCGGGTGTGCTGGTGTTTAATTGGCTCTTGTGATGTCAAGTGAAAGTGCTCAGGAGTCAAAGTGAATAAAAATTCTCTATGGTGTAAGTTCTTTGGATTTCTTAAGAATATATGTAGAGAAAAAAGGAACAATTTTTTTAATTTATTACTAATTTTCAGGGGGATGATTGGTAGAAAGAGATCTATCTAGATTTTGAAAACTGCCAGAAATAATATTTCCTAGAGTTTGGTTTAAGCTATTTGAATTGACAAGAAGCAAGAATAGTAGCTGAAAAAATATAGGAAGTAAAGTGGTGTTATACAAAGCATGTTGACTCTGGAAGTGATATGGAATTTCATTTGTCATTGATTTCCCTCATTCTATTTCTGTATCTGCCATGTGTAATTTCCTGCCCAGAATTTCTCCATGGTTACGACCATTTGGTAGAGATGTATTTTTTTTTTCTATTCTTGCTGGATATGCATAGCTGCTATGAAACTGTATGATATTTTAAAATACAGAGCTGTATATAATAGGCATGGTAATTGTACATCATTTGGGGGAGAGCTGTCTTATTTCTTTCATTGCAAGTTTATGAAAAGTATTCTTCTCACCAGTGTCCTTTAAGACCGAGATAGGGACTTAAATAATTTTCTTCTGTTAAATTGGATTTAATTAGTTTTGGGTTGATAATTAATTTAATACATGTAGAGTACTTAGGACCCTGATATAGAGGAGCTCAAGTCTTAATTTTAATAAATGTATATAGGGTTTGGAGAATATTGTATTTCAGACATCAATACTTATTTCCATTTGTATAGATTTAGTGTAGTGATACCATCTGTGAATTAGAATTTATGTGGGCTTACGTATAACAATCAATGTATTTCAACATTTTTCAAAAGCCTGTAGTGATAATATACATAGCAAAAGAATATTATATCTAATAGAACCAAGGTAATTAATGTAGAAAAAGAATCCTAGTGACACATTTATCTTCATTCTCTTGAGATATGAGTCATAAATCATAATTTATGAAGTCTTTCTGTTGGTTCCAAAGCTCTTTCCAAATAAATAGTATAAATGGTTAATTGCTATATCATTCAGGATATTTATCCAGAAAATGTTCTTTTTTCTGTAGATTACTTTTTTAAAAATTAAGGTATATTGTTACAATTCAGTATGAGTGTTTTGATAATATTCTCTTTGTTTATTTAAAATAAATAGGTAGAACTGTATATATTTTCACAATATTTATTTTATACATTAAGAATTGCTAATTTGGCTTTGCTGTTTTGAAAATAACACCACTTTTCAATAATTTGAGCATCTTTCATTTAAACAGACATTTTGATCTAAAGGTTAACAAGTAAAATATACAATGGAAAATAAAATAAATTGTGGGCCAATAGGAATAGAAAGTAGGAAACAAACCTTCCTCTAGTCTCTCAGCTTCCTCTCCACTCTTGCAGGTACGTGTTTGTGGGCATGCGCGCAAACACAGCAGGCCAGCATGCGTGCATGGGTGTGTGTCCTGTTCAAGGAGCAACTAGAGCTCTACATATTACTTAGATCCAATCTAACCACTTCCTAATTGTGTGGCCTAGGGCAACTTACCCAACTCCTCTGTGCTTCAGCTTTTCATTTGTCAAAACAGAATAAAAAATGGCCCTGATTACATGAGGTTGTTTTGGGAGTTCAATGGGCCAGTACTTATAAAAAAACACTGAACCTAACTGCCATATTTCACTTCCCTGCTCAAAGCCTTGCAATGGTTTCAGATATCCCAAGCTTGCTCCCATCTTAGGAAATGTATGCTAGCTGATTCATTGCCTGGAATGTTCTTCCCTGATAGCTGTTTGGGTAAACCTCTCACCTTCTTCAAGTCAACTTTTTATCTGATGCTTATCTTGACTAAACTTTTAACATTATAAGCTGCCCATCTTCATTCCTCATTGCAGTACTTTGTTGTACTTTTCTTTTTTTCTGTAACTCTAATCATTGGCTAACCTGCAATTTACTTATTTGTTATATTCATTCTTTATTCTTACCATTTTCTCCTCTCTAGAATGTAAGCAATCTGGGGACAGCAATATTTTATATTTTAGTCACTGTTGTAGTGCAAGGAATTAGCACAGGGCCTTACATATAGTAAGCTCTTTTATTATTATTGATTGATTGATTGATTGATTGATTATGGAGAGAGAAAGAAAGAGAGAGGGAGAGAGAGAGAGAGGGAAACATTGACTTGTTGTTCCACTTATTTATGCATTCATTGGTTGATTCCTGTATGTGCCCTGACTGGGGATGGAGCCTGCAACCTTGGCTTATCAGGATGATGCTCTAACCAACTGAGCTACCCAGCCAGGGCCATAAAGTAAGTTTTTAGTAATTATTTTAGAAATAAGTTAATGTAAGAATCTGTATTATAGTTGTTTCCAATTTAAATTAGGAACTCTTTATAAGATTTACAGTTACAATTTAACTCATTTTAAATTATAATTGTATGTATTTATAAAATTAGTATAGTAAAGATAATTAAAGATTTTCTTGATTTTTGGGTTGTCATGTTATTGAACTACAGTTAAGTTTCAAAATGATACATAACAGAACCACCAGAAATTACCCAGCTGCATGGTACTGTTTACTTCCCTCTTCATTGATCCCTGATTATATCCTTCTTTGGTCTTTTATCAGTATGTTATAGCTATTAGATTCCTTTCGCTTTCTGGCTGTCATTCATTAATTCACTGCTGTCTGTGTTGCTACCTCTCTGCAATAATGTTCCTTCACTGATGAGCGAGGTCAGTTCTGTGGGATAAGAAGGCAGACGACAAAGTCTGTTAGCACTTTGGTGCTGGGGAAAGTAAATGGGTGATACAGCAAGTGCTTGGGCAATGGAAGGTCACTGAGAATTTGAAGCCATTTGTGTTTATAACTCCTTTCTCCTCTGTCTTGTTTTGCTTGGACAAGCCATTGCGATAACTGTTCTGTTATTCAGAAATGATGTATCTAATTTGCAGCTGATAGAGCATAGTCTGCCTTTTTAAACAATTTTCATTATAGCCTGGTAAAAAATATAAATGCTACAACTAATCCAACATGAAACTATTGTCTTTAAGATGTCCAGATTACTAATTTATTTTGTTAATAAATAATATTCATATAAAAATTGGCCCTTGTCAATAAAATTTAATCTTACAAGGGGAATTTACTATTGA